TATATGTTGGGTCAAATTTGTGTGGAGGTTGAAAAATACAAGGGGAGTCTTTATGGCCCAAATTAGTGATTTTAGACCACATCGGTAATGTAATTCGACAGGCAAATTACAGTAATATTTTTAGCAAATTTCTTTGAAAAAATTTCGTAGGCATAGGGCCTAGGCCTAGCTAGGTATACAGTAATTTCATTTTACAGTAGTTTGGAACGATATCAAGAGTGGGGATGGTGGCAGTTCCCTACTAGGACTACAATTTATTTGAAGCTATCTTGGGTCCGATCGTCAACGCCAGTTAGGCCCAATCGTCTGTCACCCGAAGATTTCATTACGATGATCAAAAACGTATACTATCTAGGCCCTAGGTTAGGATTAGATTTTTGCTGAATCTTGCGTAATTTCGACCCAGCCATTGGGTATATCAAAAATTGTGAGTGGTGACGCAGCTGAAGAGGCCTATTATAATACACTATTTAGATAGGCTCTTCTTTTCCCATCTTGTGGCAGAGGTCGAAACATTTTTTTCATTTCTTAAAACTTATATAGTGTTGTAGAATAGTCTTTAAGAACATTTCCAGAAAAAAATAATGTGATACAATTCTTCGTTACAGAGTCATGGATTTTTAAGTAACATGAGTTCAATAATTTTGCCTCGAAGCTTATCTTATTTTTGTTCGCTACGCACCACTGACTTGATCAATGTGCACCAAGATGACCTGAACCGCTCATGTCGCAACTCTCTCTATATAGAAACTCTACGTTATTCATGCTCAGTGCGCCCTCTGTGTTAAAAGTTTGTTAGCCTATTGTATTTGACCACACGGCATGAGTATTTATTTTGAGACCAATTTGTTGTTGAATTTTACAGTTTTAAACAAGAGTTATTAAATAAATATCAGAGTAGACACTGAATAAATGTCAGACCCGCCGTGCCAAACCTATGAGACCACAAAAGTTGCTATGCTAGCTGAAGCCTTTTTTATTTGAATTTTTATGTTTTATTACCACCGTGAGGGACGCTGGCAGTTAAAAGATCAGATAACGTTTTATTACATACTGTACTAGCTAGGCCTAAACTAGGCCATAGCAAGTACCACTCGTCCTTTTTTTTCGTGTGGGAAATCTTTAACCTAAGTTAACCTCCTTTTTTACAACAGCTCATGCTGAGTAGCTCTGTACTTTCGACTTACGGTTGATGGGTCTTAAAGTCTTGTTGAAGTATAGTATTTATTTAGTAGATAATTTATTTATTAATTAAATGCTAATGAACATTTAAACCGTTATTTTATTTAATACATGTGTGAAAAATATTTAAAATATTGTATTAAAAATCAACAGCAGCTTACAGTAATTGTAAATTCATTCTAAAACTGTTAGAATAAAGCAATCTTATATTTCATGTGTTGAATACGAATTTCCATCTAAATAGAGTATTTAAAGACCACTTTTAGTGCTGGTCTTTAATTAGAGTAATTCTAATTAGAGACAAGCTGCTACAGACCATTAAAACCTCGGTCCAAAAGTGGTCTTTAATTGAAAGGTATAGGCCATCCTTATGGATGCGTCTTTGATTATTCTCGAAATTGGCGCCTTACAAATGTTTTGTTATTGTTATTGTTATTTATTATTATTATTATTATTATTATTATTATTATTATTATTACTATTATTACTCACTCAGCAGCATGCTGACTGGGTTATGTTTCCTAGCAGTTTCTTCTTTCTTTACCCAGTCAGCATGCTGACTGGGTTCTGTTTCCTAGCAGTTTCTTCTTTACCCAGTCAGCAGCATGTTGACTGGGTTCTGTTCCCAAGCAGTTTCTTTACCCAGTCTTTCTTTACCCAGTCAGCAGCATGCTGACTGGGTTCTGTTTCCTAGCAGTTTCTTTACCCAGTCAGTAGCAGCTGACTGGGTTCTGTTTCTTAGCAGTTTCTTCCTTCCTTCTTTACCCAGTCAGCAGCATGCTGACTGGGATCTGTTTCCTAGCAGTTTCTTTCTTTCTTTCTGGCAACATTTTAAAAGGCTACTAGTGGCAAACTACTGGAACGATTTAATTCAAACTTGGTCAGTAGGACCGGTGCCACCTCCCATTTATGCGTTGTTCAAAGCT